GTTGCTGTTTGTGAAGCACAGGTCTTCTGCCACTGATAAGCCCCACCTCCCACAGATCCACACTCACTGTCAACATAGTCCTGACCTGTGCACACATCCCAACCCCCTGGAATGAACCCAGTAATCCCACTGCAGAGGCCCCCACCTCTCCACCAATGTCCCTCACAGTTCACCTGTTCCTCACACACGCCCTGCCCCACAGAGGCAGACACACTTGCCTGCCTGTAGAGGATCAAGGCACCCAGTCTATGCAGGCCAACAAGTAGCCTGAGGGCTTGCTGTTGGGTGGGGCCAGTCCCTAGGGCAGGCTGCCTTCCCTGCCTGAACTGGATTAAATCTGGGCTCTAGTGGGTGTGGCAGGCCCCAGGGCTAACAGGCCAGGGAAAGAACTTCACTGGCATCTGCCAGCACCTGTGTCAGCATGCCTGTACTAGGTCACAACAATGACCACCACCAATGTCTCAGTCTCTGGAAAGGTCTCACCTCTCACTGAGATGCACCCAGAGCCCACCAGGTGAGTCTCTTCACCAAAGGACTATGCAGCTTTCTTTATGATGATTTTAGGTTGCTCCCTGAGATGGGAGAATTTGTGCATGGGCCCTTTAAGAGCCAGGTATTTTGGGTTTTCATTCAATAGCTTTTCTTGGGGTATTCCAATGTTGCAGTTAATAGCCAGTGAAGCCAAATAGTAGGACACTCGTCTCAGTTGTGCTGAGTCTGCAAGATGCTTACATCAGTAATGGGCCCCACTCATGTCCCCACTTCTCCAAGGAAAGCTACATACCTTAGGGTGGCTCCTGCCGGGCTGGCTGTGAATCTCTGTGGCTCACGAAGGTGACTTTTTTCTCTTCAGAAGGAATTTCTGCCTTTTCTGCCTCAGTCAGGACTGTCCCTTGTTGTGGGGGTTCTTTTTATCCAGTTTTCAGTTCTCTCTCTGCGGTAATTTTTCCAAGGAAATTTGTAATCTGGTTGTGTTTGTGGGAAGAGTTGAGTTCAGAGTCTGCCTATGCTGCCATCTTGACAAGATCTCGAAAATACATTGCCTTCTTATTTATTTATTTATTTATTTACTTGGCGAGGAAGATTGTCCCTGAGTTAACATCTATGCCAATTCTCCACTATTTTATATATGATATGCCGCCACAGCATGGCTTGATGAGCAATGTGAGGGTCCACACCTGGGATCCGAACCCACAAACCCCGGGCCACTGCAGTGGAGCTCGCGAACTTAACCACTATTCCACCGGGCCAGTCCCTGCCTTCTTATGTTTTTATGATGTTAATTCACATCCTTTTATTTCAACTCAAAGAAACTTTAGCATTTCTTTTAGGGCAGGTCTAGTGATGAATTCCCTCAGCTTTTCTTTGTTCAGAAAAGTCTTTAAAACTTCCTTCATTTCTGAAAGACAGCTTCACTAGACATAAAATTCTTGGTTTACAGGTTTTTTTCTTAGATATTTTGAATATATCATCCCATTCTCTTCTGACCTGAGAAGTTTCTGTTGAGAAATCCACCTATAGTCTCATGGGATTTCCCTTTTATGTAACTTCTCTCTTTTCTCTTGCTGCTTTTAAAATTCTTTGTCTCTGACATTTGACACTTTAATTATAATGTGTCTCAGTGTTGACCTATTTGGGGTCCCTTGGGCCCCTTGGATCTGGATGTCTATTTCTCTCTCCAGGTTTGGGAAGTTTTCAGCCGTAGTTGCTTTAAATATACTTTCTGTCCCTTTCTCTTTCTCTTTTCTTCTTGGAATTCCCATAATGCAAATATTGTTTCTTTTCCTTGTCCCATAAGTCCCATAGGCTGGCTTCACTCTTCTTCATTCTTTTTTATTTTTGCTCCTCTTACTGGGTAATTTCAAATATCCTGTCTTCCAGATTGTTGATTCTTTCTTCTGCACAGTTGAGTCTGATTTTGAAGCTCTCTATTGAATTATTCAGTTATTTTCTTTTTCAGCTCTAGGATTTCTGTTTGTTTAGTTTTTTTTTATGGTTTCCATTTTTTTGTTGAACTTCTCATTTTGTTCACTCATTGTTTTTTGTTTTGTTTTGTTTTACTGAGGACAATTCGCCCTGAGCTAACATCTATTGCCAGTCTTCCTCTATTTTGTATGTGTGTTGCCATCACAGCATGGCCACTGATAGATGAGTGGAGTAGGTCTGCACCTGGGAACCAAACCTGAGCCACCAAAGAGGAGTGCACCAAACTTAACCACTAGGTCACCAGGACTGGCCCTATTCATTGTTCTTTTACTTTTGTTTAGTTGTCTATGTGTTCTTGTTGTTTGCTAAACTTCTTTAAGAGGATTATTTTGAATTCTTTGACAGTTCATAGATCTCTATTGCTTTAGGGTCAGTTATTAATGCTTTATTAGTTTCCTGCAGCGTGTCATCATTTACCTGATCTTTCATGATCCTCAACTCTTTATCTTGGTGTCTGAGCATTTGAGGAGGTGGTCTCCTCCTCCAGACTTTGCAGGTTCACTTTGGCAGAGACAGTTCTTCACCAGTCAGGTCACTTTGGGTTTCTGGATGTATCTGCCAGTAATATCCTTAGGCAGACCCTGCTACTAGGGTCTATTTTTGAGCCAGGAAACTGTTTGAGCTCCAAGGTCGTGGGTGGAGGGGTGTGCCCCTGGCTGAGAACAGCGGGATACAGCTGCTGGTTTGGTTCCCTGCCCAAGCAAGGTTGTAGGATAGGCTCTGCAGATTGTCTGGTCAGGCTTACTAGATGGTATGGGCTGGGTACTCTACTCAGCAGTAGGTGGGGCTATGAATTAGCTTCCCTTCCCTGATGAGGGAGCAGGATGGGACCCAGGGCCTGCATGTCATATTGTTTTGGGACCCAAATCAGGCAAGAATGTGCACTGGATATCCTGTTCTGGGGAGGCCACCAGTTTTGCTCTGCAGACAGGGAAAGCCACAGGCTGTGCTCTCTGTTCAAGTGCCACTGTATGCAGTGCTGTTAGATGGGTTATACAGCTTCCCATGTGCTCTGGTAAGATTCCCTGGTCAGTGGGGTGAATTCTGTATTTAGCAATGAGTGAGGCTATGAATTAGTTTCCCTGCCTGGGTGCAGTGGGAGAAGCAGCTCCAAGGCCACCAAGGCTCTTTGTGGTCTTCACGCAAGCTGACCCATGCTCCAGTTTCTTTGCTCTATGGGTAGTCAGCTGTGTCTGCCCACCTCTTGGCTCAAGTTTTGCTGGGTAATGCAGCTTCCAGGTGTTCTCGCCAGCTCTTTCTATCAGATGGGGCTGGAGGCCACTCTTTGCAGGAGATGGGGCTGTGACTCAGTATTTCTGCCTGGGCATGGGCAGACCAGGCTCCAGGGCTGGCAAAACCCCTCATCTGAGGACCCAAATCAGGCAGACCTGCACCCTGCCAAGCTCCCTGGCCAGAATACACCACCACTTTGGTTCTACACATGAGCATAGCTGCTGGTTGGGATTACTACTTGGGCTTTGCAGGTAAGAACTTGGTCTGCCAAGATCTGAGAGCTGGTTTTTGGAAGCCCCTCCCCCTTCTCTGTCACAATCAGATTCCCAGTGGTTGAGCCTCACAGATTCCCCTGTGATCCCTGTGGGGCAAAACCGAGTAAAGGATCCCACAAAGCAACCCACAGTGTTCAGGGGTAGAGAGTCTAGATGTCACCCCTGGGTTTTCTTTTCCTACTGTAGGAACTATAGGCTCCTATAAACATAGGGGGACTTCTCAGCATGGTGCTGCACCAGCCTTGGGACGGGGCAATGTGATCAGTGTGTAGCTGCTCCTCTTACTCTTCTAATGCAGTCTACCTTGGTCTCTGTGGTATTGGGCCGGGAGGGGTGGGGTTCTTCAGCCTCACTCCCATGTTCTCTCAGTGGTGTCTTGTCCATGAACAGTTATTAATTGTTCTTCTTGTGAGGGGGAGTGAAGAAAGGAACAAACTATGTCGCCACCTTGGTAACATCACTTTCTGCTCATCTTGCAGAAACAGCAATCCTGAAATGTATCATTAAAAGGTGGTTTCCACTTACCTGATACACTTGGCTACCAATTAGGTATTATATTATAGAGCCATCCTTGGGAACACTTCTTTGATTTTGCCTTTATTTACCACTAAGAACCCAAGACTCAAAATTAGGAGAGCTAACCTTAGGCCTGACAGTAGGTAACTGGGTTTCCCATCTGTAAAAATGAGGGCTGAGAAACACCTCTCCCTGAATAAACTCTAAGAAATAGTGCTCATACCCTTTGACCAAGCAATTTTCCTTTCAGACATCTATGTATGGCAAATGAACTGAAATAAGAGGGGAAAAAAAGGCTTTATATGTAAAAATGTCTCATGGCATTTTTTTTTTACAGCTGCAAAGCAATCTAAATGTTTGCTAATAGGAAACTAATTTATTGTATTAACTAAATAGAGAATTCGGCAACCATTATAAGGAATACCAATGGGAGTTCATGTCAACAGAAAATGTCTAAATTAAAATGTCAAATGAAAGGAGGAAAATGTAAGTCTGTGCATACAATATAACTACAATTATATAAAAATAGAAACCACAAAATTGTGCCTAAGATGAAGACTAGAAAACAATACATAAAAATAATAAAGTGATTATCATTGGATGGTAGATTCTATATTTTACCATAATACTTTATAGGATGACAGGTTGAGTTCTAAAAGATACCATTCACAATTATAATAGTGATTTATTGTCATTTTATTCTTTCAGACATGACCAAAGTTGGAAGTTTGCAGACCATAATTGCACACGTAAATGTTGTAAATATTGCCAACCATTTGAGTTGTGGTGGTTATTTTTGGTTTAGCATGTTGACCTTAGAACGTATGGTACAGGGTCTCTTACTAAAATGACATTGTTAAAAGTCAGGATTCCACACAGAACAATTTCATGGATTCCTTGAATTCCATTCTTTTTTTGGTTTGTTTGCATCTGCAGATCTTTGTGGAGAAAGAAAACCTGAAATTCTAAGAAAAAAATGTCTGTTTACAGGTGTTCCATTACCCAAAGAAGACAATATTTCTGCCCCCTTGATCTCCAGCTCACCAGTGAAGGAAGCCCGGGAGTATGAGAACCCCCCAAGAGAAGAGGAAGATAAAATAAGAGAAGAGCCCTTGACCATCTCTGAACTGGCATATAACCCAAGTGCCAGCCTGCTCCCCACTCCCGTTGATGATGACGAGATTGACATGCTCTTTGACTGTCCATCTAGGCTGGAATTGGAAAGAGAAGACACAGATTCATTCGAGGATCTGGAAGCAGATGAAAATGCCTTTCTGATGGCTGAAGAAGAGGAGCTGAAGGAGGCTCACCAAGCTTTGTCGTGGAGCTATGACATTCTGAGCGGCCATATTCGGGTGAACCCACTGGTCAAGATCTTTTCCAGGCTCCTGGTGGTGGGCCTGGGGCTGCTGCTCTTTGTATTCCCCCTGCTCCTCCTCCTTTTGGAGTCAGGTATTGATCTCTCCTTCTTATGTGAAATCCGCCAGACGCCAGAGTTTGAGCAGTTTCACTATGAATACTACTGTCCTCTCAAGGAGTGGGTGGCTGGCAAAGTAAACCTCATTCTCTACATGCTGGGTTGCTCATAAGGCTCATATCTCATATGACTAAGGGCTATATTCAATACTAGTGATTTGTTTTTTTCAGCAAATGCCTGGTTCTGAATGGTCACAGGGCCATCAACAGGTGTTCTTTACTCATAACTGATTATTCAAACCTTTAAGTTAGCTTTCCATAATTCACTGCAATTAAATAAGTTTAAATCAAATACATTTATTTTATTTACAGGTCAGGAAGATGGCCTTTAAATAACCAAAAATATGTTTATTTTTTATTATATTACAGACATACTCTTTATCTATTATATCATAATACGTTGAGCTGAATTAGATTTCCCCTTTTTTAATAGTTAGCAGCATTACAAGCTATAAGGTTCAGAATCAGAATTTTAGTAAAAACCCAAGAGAAGGTTTTTGAATATAATCCTTAGTGAAAACAACATCTTCTAACCAATGCCTATACAACTAAATTTATGCTGGGCTTTTGTTTTTGTTTTTTTAAAAATATTTTTATGTGTTCAAAATATTTTGGTAAATTTTTAGCAAAAAAAAAAAAAAGAAGAAGCCACCTGGAGTTATTTAAGTGTACAGATTGTAAGAATAATGCACAAAGAGTATGTCAGGAATTTTTTTAATGTTTTGGCACTGGTTTGTTTTTAAAAATGTTTTTGGCTAAATCATTGCATAATTTGTTGTTACCTGCATATGAGATAGAAAATAGGTAGAAAGACACTGTAATAAGTAAGCTCCTAAGATGGATGATGGAACTGGAGGATGTAGAAACTGAGAGCATCAAATGGACACAGGGTGGTCCATTTATCAAAGTATTTGGACAAGATGACATTACTTTCATTTGCATTCTGTCCATATATTTTGGCTGGGGAAGTAGAATGTTTTTAAAGGAAAGTGAAACTTTAAAGGAAAATAGTTAAAAGATATGCTAGTTAATTGCATATTATTGTACATTAACCCAAGAGTGGAAGCAGATGGGAATGGGGCAAATGGCAAGTAGCAAAACAGAGTTCTGGTGAGGCTGATAGGCAAGTGGCAGCTGGCAGATGATCTGTTTGATGAAAGTGATGATGATGCAAGGTCCTGGATGATGTAAAGAACAGTGTACTCACTGTCCGAGTTGACATGAATATGCGTAAGTGGCTCTAAATAAAAGTGGGGAAACTTTAAGTCATGTTTTTTGGTCCCTCAGGCCATTCATTGTGATTCTCTAGAAGAAACTTCAACAGAAGTGTGTGTTTGAGAAAGAGAGAGAATGAAAAGAATGGATTTTGGGTTTTTGATAAATGCCGATGATCTTTCTTTGTGGTGGTCATTATACTCCCTTCCTTTCCTGGTTTCCTTAAGATTGTAACTCATTCATAATTAAAATGAAAGTGGAGGGGACTCTAGATGATATGGTGTTTCTGCTTGGGTGAAGTAGTGAAATGACTCCCTAATCAGACAGTAGATGGGAAACATGCTCTTGAACTTTCCTTCAGACCATTAAAGCCATGAAGGAAAGGCTCTAACGTCCTCCCATGGAGAAGTACCTACCAATACTGTGGTACAAATGAGAAAGAAAAGCATATGGAGCTTAGAGCATGGAGCACTGGGATTTCTCCGTGGATCGAAAACATTCCATTGCCTTCATTTACAAAGACACTGGGCTGCCTGTGATCTCCCCCTAACTCTAATAGACACTCCAACTCCATCATTAGCACAATTTCCAAATTGGCCATTCCAGTCCTACTCAGTGGATCTCTGAGTGCTTTACTAAATACTTAATTTTGAAAATAAGTTTTAAAAGTCAGCTCACGGAGCCTTCTGTTGAGCGAATATGATACACATTGGCTGTGAAGTTTGTAGGGTGTTCTTTCCCATGTGCTTTTGGTGATTGATTTTGCTTTTTAATAAAGAACATTTAATACCTGAAATTTGATATAAACATAGAAATATATCGTCTATAGTTTATTTTGGAAGTTTTCAAATGGCCAGCTTTGAAATTGAAGATTTCTTCCCTCTTCTTTTTTCATATGACTTCTAAGTCATACCTTCTGACATAAGGATACTCCAGTGTAATCTGCATAGAATTAGTCCCCCTTCTAATCATGCTTCATATCATTTTCTTTGAAGTTCTAACCATAACAAATCATTTAGCCCTCACCCTTTTAAATAATATTGAATAATATTTTTTAAATTATGGAAGTAATCTATTTCCCATTATAAAACATTTGAAAAATAACTGACAGGATAAATATCACATGTAGTCCAACCATGCGAATTTATATTAAAGAGTAATAAATACATTCTTTTAACATTTCCAGCTAACATCTCTTTTCTCTTAGGCAAAAACTTAACTGTTGAATAGAATTTTTGTGTGTGTGTGCGATGAAGATTCACCCTGAGCTCATACCCATTGCCAATCCTCCTCCTTTTTCACTTGAGGCAGGTTAGCCCTGAGCTAACATCTGTGCCAGGCTTCCTCTATTTTTTGTACGTGGGACGCCTCCACAGCATGGCTGATGAGTGGAGTAGTAGGTCTGCACCTGGGACCCAAACCTGCGAACACAGGCCGCCAAAGAGGAGCACGCAGACCTTTAACCACTCGGCCATGGAGCCAGCCCCTGAATAGAAATGTTTTTAAGTGAAGGAGCTGACAGGATAGGGTCTGCTGAATTTAAACAATAGCCACCAAAAGTAAACTGGGATCCTAAAATGCCATTATGCTGGGGTAGAATAAGAGCCTCTTAGAAATATCCACTTAAGCGTTGTTAAAAGACAGTCACGGGTTGCCTGAATCAAATGAGGAAAAGACTGCACCCACAGATGGAGGGGACATAATAGCATGAGATAGAGAGTTCACAGCAAGTGTGTGAGTATATGTATATTCCATATTATTGGTATATATATGTTTATATATGAATCTGTATTTATATACACACAACTGATATGCCCTTCACACATAGTTGTGTTTATTTTTCCCCAATTGAGGAATTTGTGACATGTTATTGTTCCTTTTCCTTCTCAGATATCATGGTGGATAAAACTCACAGTCCCCAAGGTTTATATTTTCCATGAAAACCACTGTGTGTACATTTATGGTTATATATACGCATATATATGGCAAATACATATACACACACAATCCTGTCTTTAGTGCTAATGCAAGTTGGATCATGCAAAAAATGTAGGTAAAGTATCGTGTATTTCTGTCTGTGCTTGGAATATACTGTAAAATGTTATGTATTTGGAATATATTTTGTGGTTTGTCTAATATTTATAAAGACAACTCTGGGAAGAATTCAAAATGAGTGGATTTCATTGAAATACTAGCGATATGGGGCCATGTTACCTATGATTGGAGCCTTATCTTTGTATAGTGAAATTTGCATTTCTATGTCAACATCCAGATTGTTTTATATGTTAACATGGTGGCAGGAATCCCTAATAAAAATACTCTGGGGAAAAATGTTTCTGCAATCATTTAGTTTTATTCGAAGTAAAGTTGAATAAATAGCCTTTTGGAAACTACAGAAAAGTGCCACGTAGTACCATGAATGAGGTCATCCTTGAATGGTGATAATATGGGGAAAAAAAATCACAGGTAATGGATAGGATTGACCCTTTGCAGAAGTCACCCAGGCCAAAACCAGGAATACTGAGTGCACTGAAAATGCACCCAAACATAAAAGACAGTATAGCCTAATTAATGGCATTAAGATAACAAGAGAGAGAGAAAAAATTAAGAGGAGCGTTCTGCATGACAGGTAGGAGGAGGGATTTCACAATGCTAGATGTTAGCATGTCATCACTTTTGGCCGGAAAAGGATGACTTCCTGTGCCAGAGAGAGCTACAGCAGACTCAACGCTGTCACACTTGCCATTATACTTCTCCTATCTGTTCATGGGCCCTGGAAGAATCTTACTATTCTACTCCTATCTTGCCCTGCATACAGCGTGACCTGAAAGGCCCTCTGCTTTGGTTTGGCATAAAGCTAACAACTCCACACCTGACAGTTCAGTCAGAAGGTGTTACTCTGAATGAAGCAAAGGGGGCTCTCTTTACGATAGGAACACCATAGATATCAAGCCAAGTGGTACCCCAGCTGCAGTGGCCTCTTAAGTCTGTCAAGTTCTTTTTTGCTCCAGTTTTATTGAGATTTAATTGACATACAACATTGCATTCATTGTAGGTGTACAACATAATGATTTGATATATGTATATATTGCAAAGTAATTACCACAGTAAGTTTAGTTAACATCCATCACCTCACATAGTTACAAATTTTTTTTCTTATGATGAGAACTTTTAAGATTTGCTCTTTTAGCAACTTTCAGATATGTAATACAGAATTGTTAACTAGAGTCACCATGCTGTATATTATATCCCCAGGACTTATTTATCTTATAACTGGAAGTGTGTACATTTTGACCACTCATTTCACCCACCTAGGGGGCTGGGAGTGGGGGAAGTTTGTCAAGTTCTTGCTCAGCAGTCCTCGGAGGTTCAGACTCTAGAGTACAGGCAAAAAAAAGGAATTCCGTGGCAAATTCAGGCCTGAAGTGACTTATGGACCTACAGTCCCAACTCCAGCAGCTCTAGCCAGCCCCTTCGTTTGGATTAGTGTCTGCAGACTGGAAGGCTCACACAAAATGGCCCTTGGGCACCTATTCACTGAGCAGTCCAGGCTCCTGACTCAACCTGGCCGCTTAGGAGTAGCTCTTTTCCTTATTCCCACATTCCTTGCTCAGCCAAATAAGGGAAAGATCTCCTAACTACACTTCAGCTTGGAAGGAAAGCACTGGGGAAAAGCTCCCACCTGTGGGGTGACCTTGGGATGGTTGTGGTTGATGAACTTGAGACTCTTCGCGCCATCTTTCTCTACTGGGTGGAGATAATATACTAAAGATCTCTGCTTACTTGTCCTCCTGCTTCTTCTCTCTCTCTCTCTCTCTTTCTCTTGGACCTGCTTTTGGGCTTCCAGTCTACATGCAGTAAACAGACCCAGCAGGACCTGCCCATAGTGGGCCCAGCCAGGACTCGGCTCTCCACAGTCCAGCCTCGGTTTGTGACGGGGTGGGTAAGTTTGGTGAGCCCTGCCCAGTGGGTTCAGCTGTCATCACTTCAGAGAGGACAAAGGAAGCCTCACTTGGGCCTCAGACCCCAGCTGTGTTCTCCAGTCTATTAATAAAGCTGATTTTAATCCTCTCCTGGCCATTGTGTCTATTGTCAACTGGGAACTGGAGTGGGAGAGTGGGGCAGGATGGTGGTGAATATTTAGGATCTCTGCAACCTCCAATGTTGCTAGGAAAGAAGGAGTGGAGAAGGCTGCTCCTGGCTGAACCTCAGGCATCAGGGGATATCTGCCCGTGACACTGGCTTTGACAGGGCTTGCAAACGGGTGAGAGAACGTGGGACTTAATGTTAGTAAAGAACAGAGAGTAGATTGGAACCACACATCCCTATTCTTTACCTGTAGCTGATGCTTACCCGAAATAGCTCTTTGGAAAGAGAACCAAGACCACATTCCTGGTTATAAAGGAAAACTCTTAGTAGGACAAAGGATATGCTTTGTGTGAGTACCAAGTATTAAAACCTGTCTTACAGATTATAGCGTCTCCTCTCTCGGTCACCTTGAATCTCCTCATCCTCAAGAATGATGACTTTGATAATGGGCTTTCCAAGGAGACCACCCTTCAAGGGAGGGAACACACTAAAAGACCCACATTAGTTTCTACTCTGCTTGGCAGTTACATTCTTCATAGTAAGTGTAAACCCAGTGTTCTAGTTTAAGCATCAGTCTCCTGTAATTTCCTTGGTGTGACCCAGCCTCCTCCCATCCTGGATCATCCTAACGACCTGAGCTGCTGGTTCTGCAAAATTGCAAACCAGCCCGTGAACAGTGGTGGCCACATAAAGGGACCGCCCCCTGGTCATAGGGTTACTGTATAACTTATCATCCAAACCAGGACTCTTGTGAGGGTGAAAGGGGGTATTTTTAATGACTGTATCACAGCAACGGGCATTAACTAGGACCATTCCAGAAACTCCACCTGTAGGGCTTTGCTCAGTCAGTTGATGCCCTCTTTCAACAAATTCTCCAGCTTGTTTCTCTAAAATATCGACAAGCTGAAATAGGGAAGGATAGCCCTATAGTCATAGCTCTCTTACTTGCCATCAAGAATCAGATTAAAATTCACCAAAATTAATTCTATCATGTGGTTTGCGTGACACTGAATTGCACAGATTATTTTAAATGAGACTTCTGGCATTGCGTATTTAATGCTATACACTCAACTTGTTTACCATTTATAATGTTGAATTTCTTGTTTCATGTGAGGTGGGTAGAGGGTTAGAATAATCTCAGTGCTGCTTTTACCTCCATAGTCCTGCATCTGACATTTCCGATCTGCGCCTACAGAATGTTGATGATCAGCTTAACTGAGCAGCTGATTCACACGAAGGATGACTCAAGACTGAGCTGTGCAAAAGCCAGCTTGATCATTTATAATGGAAGTGTCAGTCAGCTTGGCATCAGTCTGATGCTGGATGCTCCGTGAATGCTCTTCTCAGAATGTAAGCTGTAATACGAACCAAACACTATCCGCGAGTGCAAGGAATCACAGCTAGAAAACTCTCTCAGAGCTGTATGCCTCAACAGAAGACGTCCCCATCCCATAGCCATACCTGTCTCAGAAGGGCTGGGGACGTGTTATACACACTTGACTCCAAATCTCCCATTTTTGCACATCTCTTGTGGCAGAGGCTGGCAGCTGATCATCAAAACTGCTTCCTCTTCATCCTGTGTGCAGAATTAGACTAGATTTTCCAGGCCTCATGTACATAAGTATAGCCAGATTCCTGAGTGCTGGCCAATGGAATTTGAATAGGAAGCAATCTGTTTCACATCCAAGCTCTGGACTAGGTGTGAGCCTACATTTGCCACTGGATGTCAACACCTGCAGTGACCTTGAAGCCACCAGTTGAGGATATTAGAGCTACCAGCAACTTGGATTCTTGAATGACTGTGGAGCAGAGTACCCCACATCTCACCCTAAACTGAACCCATCTTGAACTGTTACTTGAACAACAAAATCTTACTTGGGTGATTTCCAAGTCAGTTGCTGTCACCACTTTTTCTCCCACTATTCGAGTTGGCTAGCTCTCCCAAGAAAGAAGAGTACAGCTGGAAGCAGGGATAGGAGCTGTCCAGCACTGGAGTCTCCCCGGAGATTCTACTGTAGAACCACCGTGTGGAGGGGAGAAGATGACCTTCTGTGCCTTAGAATGCCAGACTCTGGTGAGGACCTACTTTGGTAACATATCTTGTCACTCATCTTTCACAGGCTCTTCTTTCAGGGCTTCTTTCAGAATCTCACGCAGGTAGAACACAAGGTAGCCCACCCCAATGGGCAAACTTCAGCCCTGGCTGAGAACTGGATTCAGGAGTAGTTTCATGGGCATGTGACCTGTGAACTTGTACAGGGCCCTGCTCGCAAAGGTTTGGCTTAATGCTCCGCTCTCACCATCCTGAAATTCTTAACAATTCTATCTTCAAACTTCTGTTTTATAATCGAAGTCCAATGGGACAATGAAAGCTGTGCAGGAGATCCGCCAGGCAACAGTGGACACCATGCATGCTGAGCAGTTGGCCTGGATCCCAGGCATGTACACACACATACACAGAGCAATCTGAGGCCCCAGGGGTCCCTGAGGGGACTGCTTGCACCAGAACCTGAGCCCACATTAATCGCGAAGAAGACAGCTGCAGCAGAAGCTGGCCCTGGAAGAAAGGAGGCAGCCACATAGGGGCAGTGCTGGCCCACACGGTGGGAGGCCAAGTGCCCATCAGTCCCCGCAGCCCACCCCTGAAGCATCTGCACAGACACCAACTCTCTTGCCTGAACACTCAGGTAATAAACTTGGTCAGTAACTTATTACAACATAAAAGTATACACATGGACATTGCAATAAACTATGTCAGAGTTATTAGAATTCTTCAAAGAGTTTAGAACCTTTGGTTTTGAAAAACACTGCAGCCTTAGGTAACAAATATCCACAGGCTTGGAAAGAGAAATTAAATTTAAAGATCCTCACGTTCCACAGAGAAAACCCACTATTTTCATTAAAAAACTTGCATGGACCAATTATTTAAAATAATTACAATTTACAATGGTAAAATTACTTTTCCTTGTGATTGAACATATAGTTGCATTAGAATTCATAGACAGGCTTTTAAAATTATATACAAATCCTGAAACCATTTTCAGCTTGTTGTACAACCTCGGCAAGTTACAGGAAATGTCAGGGGAAAAGTTAAAATGCTTATATAAATTAACATTTAATCCTAAATTGAGACTTGCAAAAAACAGATTTGTAAGAAGAGGTAAATCTCTTCAGAAAAATTTTTCTGCAAGAATCATTAGCTCAAATACACTAAAATTTGTTTCAAAATAATTTATCAGAAATTTATCCTAATGTTGTTACAGCCTATAAAACTTTCTTAACAGCTCCAGTAACAGTTGCAATAGCAGAAAGATCCTTCTTAAAATTAAGACTTATTATAAACTATTTGTGGTCTTGCATTTGTCAAGAGCAACTGATGTTATTTTAACTATATCAATTGAAAATGAAGTTGCTAAAATAAGTTTTGATGGCTGAATAAATGAATTTTCAGAAAAGTGACCCCTCCAAAAATCTATGATCAATCAAGATATTTATATATTGATATATATGTTGATATAATAAAGTATTATTTATTGTATTATACAAAATTATGGCATCAAAGTATTGTTTTTTGTAATTTGTAACATTATATGTTGTAACATAAATGTTGTTACTCATGTATCACTATTACCCTATTATGTTTTATAAGTAATAAAATAGTTTTAAAAGAAAAAACTTTATCTTTTAGTACCTTTACCTGCACTTTTCCCCTGTAGTTTGAACAAGGGTCTCCACATTTTCATTTTACACTGGGCCCTGCAAATTATGTCACTGACCCTGACTGGGTTAAAAGAAGCGAGGGTGGGAGGCATGAAAATGAATTTTCAATGATCAGAACAGAAGATTTAAGTGTGAAAGCCAAATGCATATGGCTAATTTTTCTTTCACTGAAGAATTTAAAATCATCTAAATAATAATGAAGAGTTTATCTTATAGAAAAGATTTCCTCTTCATCAAAATGAGGGAGTGATCTTTTTGCTAATATTTTGATTTTCTCAAACTTTTGTGATTAGGTTGGGTTAAACAAGTTGCCTTTAAGTGAAAGAGAATGAATAAAAATTAAAAGTCAGCATCTAAGATTTGGTAAAGCCTTTATGGTAAAGCCAAATTCTGTATAACTGAGAGGGTGAATGATCCTAATGACAGTGTGACAAATCCTTTTGCAGGTCAGGTCATTACTGACTCTTTGCTTTCAATAAAATGGAAAGAGTAGCTAGTTGAACCATTAGGGGACAGGTTATTAAAATTATATTTGAAGAAGCACTTCCAGAGGGTTGGAGTAAGGACCTCTGAAAATCCATTCTTCTATAAAAGCAATGAGAATACTGGCAAAAACTGTGAAAATTAACTTTTCAAGAACTATGGAAATTAACCAAAGGCTTGCAAATAACTAATAAAAATTTATCCAAGGAAAACCTGCTGAATCTTGGTAAGATGAGCAAGCTTTGATGCATTTTAACTTGCCCTATTCCCACCTCCTTCTCACCAGCCCTGCAATATCCTAAACCAAAAACATCATGACTATGATGGCTGTGAAAGACAACAGCACAGTAGCCACTGGAGAGGCCAGAATGGGTTTGGAGTTCCCTAACAGCTCCATCCCCAGAGAATTGTTACTATCTGACCCTTAGGGCAGCTCCTTGAAAAGCTCCATTTTCAGACTTCTCTGTGTTTTACCTTATTCAGAGCTCCCTCTGTGCTCCTAGCTTTCCTAGAACACTTCTCAAACACAATTAGTGGCAACAGTTTAATACTGCAGCTGCCTGAGGTGGGGATACAAGCTGAGTCTAAAAAGAACTGAACAAAGAGGAGCGACCTGAGTAAGATGGTGGAATAGGAATTCCCAGATCCCTGTTCTTCCATGGAGACACTAAATTAGCCACAATGCATGGATGAATTGCCCTTGTGAGAAATCCAGAAACCAGGTAAGAAGTACCTGCATCCCAGGTGAGAATGAAGCCAACGGCATTGAAGCTCAGCAGAAAAATTTGTGACATGCACTCACCAGAGCCTTTCTCTCCAATACAGCATGGCGTGATTGGAACAAAACTCCCAACTTCTCCTAGAGGAGGGAAAGAGAAGAGTGGAACATAAGTCTGACATCCTGATTTTTCATGGGACTGACAAAAGAACTGATTTTTGTCTTGTCTGAATCTACGTGTTGATAGGAACAAGACACGGGATGGCGGGGGGGGGGGGGGGACAGTTGAGAACAAAGGCAATCAGTGTGCACCAGAGTGCAGTTCCACAAATAGACACTGGGTGGAAATCCAGTACCATAGCTTACTTTAGCACCAGAGAGGCTGCAGTGCCAAAGAAAGCCACGAGGGGGAGCTCCTCAGTAGAAACTGGCAAAGCTCTTCAAAAAGGAGATTATAAGCACAAGTCTAGAGAGGACACATCCCAGAAAGGCTTGAGAGGTCTTCAGAATCTCTAACAAGGCTGATCAGAGGAAGTCCCCCCCTGTATGAAATCAAACTGGAAAGACTAGGAGAGATGGCTGATTTCACTAAATGCTGAAACCAAATATAAGATAGCAAGGCATACAAAGAAACAGGGAAACATGGTCTAATCAAAGGAACAAACGAAATCTCCAGACACCAATGCCAAAGAACTGGAAACATATGAATTACAGACAAAGAATTCAAACTGTAAGGATGCTCAGTGATTAAAAGAGAGCACAGAGAGACAAATAAATGAAATCAGGAAAACAGTGCATAAACAAAATGAGGATAACAACAAAGAGGTAGAAACTATGACAAGAACCTAACAAGAATTCTGGAACTGAAGAATTCAGTCAATGAATTGAAAAATTCACTTGAGGGACTCAACAGAAGACTTGACTAGGCAGAAAGAAGAATCAGTGAACTCAAAGACAGGACATTCTAAATTACCAGGGCCAGGAGCAAAATTAAAAAGAATGAAGAAAATGAAGATAGGCTAAGAGACATATGGGACATCATCAAACAGAACAACATATGCATTATGGGAGTCCCAGGAGGAGATGAAACAGAGAAAGGGGCAGAGAGCCTATCTGAAAAATAATGGATGAAAACTTCCCCAAAGTGAGGGCATATAAATTAAAGGAGCTCAAGGAACTCCAGTTAGGATAAAGCTTAAGAGATCTATACTGAGACATATCATAATCAAGCTGTCAAAAATCACAAAGAAAGAATCAGGAAAGCAGTAAGAGAAAAGCAACTCATCATGTACAAGGGAGCTCCTATTAGATTATAAGTGTATTTATCAGCATAAACTTTGCAGGCCCTATAGGAGGCAGTGGGATGATATAATAAAGTGCTGAAAGAAAGAAAACTGTCAACCAAGGATACTATATCTGAAAAAACTGTCCTTCAAAAAAAAAGGAGAAATAAAGACTTTCCAGACAAACAAAAACTGAGGGAGTTCATTAGTAGGCCTACCATCCAAAAAATGCTAAAGCACGTGCTTCAAGATGAAGTGAAAGAACAATAAACAGCAACACAAAACCCTTATAAAACTCCCTGATAAAGATAAAATATACAGAAAAATATAAAATCCCATAGTATAGTAATGTAGGTACATAAATCACTTTTAAATCTGATATACAATTAAAAAGACAAAAGCATAAAAATAATTATAAATCTATGTTAATGGATAGAATATAAAAAGAATTAATTTGTGTCATAAACAACATAAAATAAGGTGGGGATAAGAGGTGTAAAGGAGTAGTTTTTATACATAATTGAAGTTATCAGTTTAAAATAGATTGTTATAACTTTAAGATATTTTATGTAATTACAATTGTGACTGTAAAGAAAAAATACATAAAATATAGACAAAGGGAATGTGCCACAAACAGAAGGACCCACAACTAAAATATACAAGTATGTATTGGGGGGATTTGGGGAGAAAAAGCAGAAAGAAAAAAAAGAAAAAAGAAGATTGGTAACAGTTGTTAGCTCAAGGTGCCAATCTAAAAAAATAGAGAGAGAGAGACAAAGGAAAATGAAAAGGGAATCAAAGTATGTCACTACAAAATAAATCAATGAAACACAAAAGAAGGCAGCAAAAGAGGAAAAGAGGGACAAAAAGGCTATAAGACATATAGAAAACAATTAACAAAATGCCAGTAGTAAATCTTTCCCTATCAGTAATTACTTTAAGTGTAAATGGATTAAATGCCCCAAATAAAATACATAGATTGGGGGTGAAATGAAAAGAGCTGGAAGACAATAGGGGCCACCTAAAGAAGATGTTATAAGGTGGAGGGAAAGAAATTTTCTGACATAAATTGAGGAGCCTGAAAAAAACTACTTCATTATTTTGACTGAAGTTCCTGAATGTGATTAGAACCACCAATATACAGATTCAGGAAACTGGAAGAACTGTAACCAAAATGAATAAAAAGAAATCTACACTGAGGGACATCAGCATCATGGCAGCATATGATGTCCCTCATTTTTCTCTCCCTTCTCAACACCAAAAGTTTGGCATCCATCCATGGACAAAAGTGCCTTTGAGGGGGCTGTGGGATCCGTATCATATGCCAAGGGATCCAGGAGGAGTTTTGCCCAGCCATGCATCTGGTAATAAGCAGACAGACCTCAGTCCTGGCTGTGAACCCTGCAGTGGCCCGAGAACTGGCTCCAGCCCCTCTAGGCCATGGTTGGGAGTCCCTGAAGAATGCTGACTTAGACAACCACTCACAGAGAAGAGAGCCTTTGTGGAAGTCCAGGATTCCAGAGGAGAAGTTCCAGCACCCCATTGGATAAAAAGTAAGAGTTTGGATGCATTAGAGTGGGTAAGAAGAATAGTTTGACTTTACCCACATCACACTTCCCTCAAAGCAGCACAGCTTAGGGTCAAGACAGATCTTCCTTAGCTTGTGATTTATCCTGTAGGGGAAAGGGAGAGTATGTGAGTGAGCACATAGTGTCCCCAGTTGTATGGGATTCTGCCAAAGAAATTCATTTCTCACTCCACAGAGAGTACTGAATCATGAGCCACATGACTGGGGGCAGAAAGCAGTGGGGAGAGCAACAGATAGAAATATCAGAGCACATTAAAGGGGTGCAGATCCTAACTGCATTGTGGATTCCATCAAGGAGCCTGCCCATGAGCTTCTGGGCACAGCTCACCCATTGATCCCCCCACCTCGTCCATGGGCACCCCAGCACTCCCCATGTTTCACCCTCTTGTTATTGATGGAAATTAAACAACACTGTCCTGAACAACCAATGGATCAAAGAAGAAATTCAAAGAAAAACAAAAATGTTTTTTGAGTCAAACAAAAATGGAAACAGGATATACCAGAACTTATGGGTTGCAGCAAAAGCAGTCCTAAGAGGGAAGTTCATAGCAATAAATGCCTACATCAAGAAGCAAGAAAGATCCCAAATCAACAACCTAACCTTATGCCTTAAGGAACTCGAAAAAGCAGAAAAACATGAGCCCAAACTTAGCAGAGGAAGGAAATAATAAAAATTGCAGCAGAAATAAATGAAATAGAGAACAGAAAAATAATAGGAAAGATTAACCAAACTAAGAGTTGGTTGTTTGGAGAGATAAACAAAATTGGCAAACCTTTAGCTTGACTAATAAAGGAAAAAATAGGGGCCAGTCTGGTGGTGTAGTGGTTAAGTTTGCATGCTCCACTTCAGCAGCCCGGGGTTCTCAGGTTCAATCCCGGGCGTGGACCTACACACCACTCATCGAGCCATGCTGCGGCGCCATCCCACGTACCAAATAGAAAAAGATTGGCACAGAGGCCAATCTTCCTCACCAATACTCACAAAACTCGTAGCAAAAGAGATCAGATCTGTGGTTGACAGAGGCAGGAGTAAGGAGAGGGGGAATTGGAGGAAGGCAGTCAAAAGGTATAAACTTCCAGTTGTAAGATAAATAAGTCCCAGGGATGTAATATGCAGCATGATGACTATAGTTAACACTGCTGTATGATACATAGGAAAGTTAAAAGAGTAGATCCTAAGAGTTCTCATCACACAGAGAATTGTTTTTTCTTTTTCTTTTTATCATAAGAGATGGATGTTAACTAAACCTATTGTGGTAATCACTTCACAATATATGCAAAGCAAACCATCATGCTGTACACCTTAAACTTATACAGCGATCTATGTCAATTATTTCTCAATAAAACTGGAAAAAAATTAAAAAGTACAAACTTACAGTTATAAGATTAATAAATTCTGAAAATCTAATGTACAATATAGTGACTACAGTTGATAACACTGTATTGTATAATTAAAATTTACTAAGAGAGTATAACTTAAATATCTTCACCAGAAAAAAAAGAAGCCTAACTATGTGAGGTGATGGCTATGTTGACTCAAAGGAGGAATTCTTTCAAAATGTATATGAGTATCAAAACATCTCATTGTACACTTTAAATATCTTTCAATTTTATTTGTCATTTATATCTCAATAAAACTAGGGGGAAAAGTCTTACTTAAAAAATCAAAAAAAGAAGAAAAGGAGAAGGATAAATAATCTAAGTTTTCACCTTAGGAAAGTAGACAAAGAAGAGCAAATTAAGTTCAAAGTAATAATAAGGATAGAAAAGATAAGAAATAGAGAAGAAATCAATGAAATTGAAAACAGGAAATCAGTAAATAAAAATCAATGAAACCAAAAGCTGATTATTTGAATAGATCAATAAAATGGAATAAACTTCTAGCCAAGCTAACTAAAAAATAAAAAGAGAGAAGACATAAATTGCTAACATCAGAAATGGAAGAGTGGAGATCATTACAGATTACTAGTAAACAGACAAGCCATGAAATGGGAGAAAATATTCACAAAATATGCATCTGGTAATGGGCCGTTATCCAAAATATACAAAGAATTCTTAAGTCTCAACAATAAGAAAATACACAACCTGTTTTAAAAATGAGTCAAAGACAGACCCTCACCAAAGAAGATATACTGATGACAAATAATCACATGAAAAAATGCTCTCCATCATAAGTCATCAGGGAAATGCAAATTAAAGCAATGTGATACCAATGCACACCTATTTGAATGGCCAAAATCCAGAACACTGACAATACCAAATGCTGACAA